CCTCCTCTGCTTGCAAGTATATGTTCTCTCTCTCTCTCTCTCAAAAATAATAAACATAAAAAAAAGAAATTAGAGGAGTTCAGGAGATATTAAAGTGACTATTAGTTCTATAACCCAGTAGCAGGAGCCCCTCCCCTCCTCCAAATCATATGTTAATGGAAAAGCAAAAACAACCAAGTATATCTCTGATCAAGAAAAAACTCAAAGGGTGCCTGGGTGGCTCAGTCGGTTAAGTGTCCCACTTCGGCTCAGGTCATGATCTCACGGTCCGTGAGTTCGAGCCCCGCGTCGGGCTCTGTGCTGACAGCTCCGAGCCTGGAGCCTGTTTTGGATTCTGTGTCTCCCTCTCTCTCTGCCCCTCCCCTGTTCATGCTCTGTCTCTCTCTGTCTCAAAAAAAAAATAAACGTTAAAAAAAGAAAAAGAAAAAGAAAAAACTCAACACATATTAATCATGAGCACACATCAACCCTGTTGATTTTCCTGGATTTATATATAAAACACTACAAAGACCAATTTTTTGGTTAAGTCTTTTGGGTAGAGGCAGAATAAGAAGCATAAGAGTATCAATATAATATTTTGCTCTGTAGAAAGAATAAGGAAGAATAACAAATATGGTAAACCAAATTCACAAGAAAGCCATGTAGTTCACCCCAAACTTGGGAACTCACAGAAGGCAGCCCTGAGTTAGGAGCAATGGAGTGCCACCTTTCTTTTTCCCAACCTTCAGGGGGCAATCAGCAAGCTAAACTGAACTACTCATTTGCAAAAGATTGGGTTGGTAGGGAAAGAGCACAGATGAGGGGAAATTAAGCCAGCCCTATTTTCTCTCATTCTTTTTAAAATTCTTTAGCTAAAAAAAGACTCCAAATAATAGCATCAGCTGCTAATCTAAAATGTTATCTGCTTGTCCTGGCCCACCAGTCTGCTCCCTGAGTGCTTTGGGCTATAGAGTGAGGAAATGGAGAAGAGATAAAGTCTGCTTAAAATTGGAAGTATCAGATCTTAGAGGTGGCATAACCTCAAGAGATCATGTGGCCAGGGAATGAAAACTTGGGTAGATAGGAGTCCTATCTAGAGATGAGGCCCAAACAGGTTAACTGTCTTACCTAAGGTCTCTTACACAGACAAGGGAAGAGGTTGTCTTCTGCCCCTAACACAAGGCATGTATTCTTCACAGGGAAAAATCCTTCCTAGAAGCCAATGGCTCCACCTTCAAGCCTATACAACTAAAAAATGAAGGGACTGCTCTAACCTCTCTGTATCCCAAGTCCACCTTAACCTGGAAGGTGATAATAACTGTTAAGATACTCCCCACACATACTGCAGTACAACGCATTAATGGCAATGACGAGCATTACACCCTTGTCTGATGTGGTAAAACACTAGGGTAACAATTTTGGTGTAGGCTAAATCATGGACAGCTAAGAAGGTGAGCCCTGGGGGTACCTGGGTTGCTCAGTTGGTTGAGTGTCCAACTCTTGATTTCGGCTCCAGTAATGATCCCAGGGTCACAGGATCAAGCACCCCTTTGGGCTCCATGCTGAGCGTGGAGGCTGCTTAAGATTATCTCTCTCTCTCTTCCTCTGCTTCTCTCCCACCCCACTCTCTCTCAAAATAAAAAGATTAAAAGGCATATCTCTAGATTTAGAGACGATTATGCTTAAAAGAAAAAAAAAGAAAAAGAAAGTGAACCCTGGAGTCAGACTGGTTCAAATCCCATCTCTACCATTCGATAACTGAACAGCTTACTTAACTTCCCAAGCCTCAATTTCCTCATCAGTAAAATGAGAACAGCATGGTATACAGATGTTACGAGGCTTGAACGAGAGCCATGCCAAATACTCAGCACATAGTACCTGGCAGCCACTAAGTGCTCAGTGAATGTTAGCTAATATTAGTCATACTCTACACATTTTTTCCACAGATCTTTCAGAGATATCCTCTCTTAAATATTCACAGCATTGAGTTCTGATTGTATCCAGTGGAAGCCTGGAGAAATGGCCCCAGCACTGTCTGATATTTTTTGCCTCTACCAAAATGAAAGGCATTTATGTAACGTTATGGGATTAAAAGCAACCACCACAGTCACTATTACTATTGCTACTATTGCTATTACTACTACTTCTACTACCATACTTGGATTACTATGGGTGTTTTGTTCTCTCTCCTATTTCTGTCCTTCTTCCTTTTGGTAAGACTCCACTTTCTCTGTCGGTACCTTTGGCTTTTATTTCCTCTGTAAAAACATACACAATATTACAAATGCCACCTCTAGCGCTGTCAGTCTGTGTGATAATGGGCAAGTTTCTTAAACCTCTCTGACACTCGTTTCACTCATATATATCTAACACAGGGATATCACGAGGATCAAATAAAATAATACCCATAAAGTGCCTACACATGATAAAACCCTTAGTAAATGTGAGCTACTTCTCTTTATTATACAATGGATTTTTGGATTTGAGGCAGTACCAAATTCTCTCCCTCCGCTAAAAGAGAGAGAACATCACGTCTTTCAAATAGCCTGTATGAAAATGTAAATATAGTTTAGAATATTTACAAAAAGTTCACCTCTGCAAGGCTCATTTTCCTGAATGTCAAGACTATTGCAATAGCAACCCAAATTAAAGTCCTCCATTCAGACACCCAATTGCTAATGCTGCAGAGGATTTACTTATTTTGAAAGAATATCTACATTTTGGAAACCATCTGGTAGGTTTCCACGGGGAAAGAGTCATAGTTGATTTATGGCATGCTCACACATGAGAGCAGTTTGGGAGGAGGAGGTGGGCAAAGAAGGAGCATGCACGCCCCACCCTCACATCCTAGCTGGACTCATAAGATTCATTGGGAGAGGCTTCTGGTACATGCAAGCCAGTGGCAGTGGAGGGACTGAGGAAGAAGGACAAAGTTTCATGACTTGCACTGATTTTGTTATATGGAAACAGATCCTTTAAAGTAATTCAGATAAATCTAAATTAGAATTTAACCTTCCTTATCTGTTCCCAAAAGAGGGCAAGAATATGGAGGAACAGAAAGAAAACACAAGGGCCTTGGCTGGGAACAAGGTGGGAGTACAAATAATGATTTCCTGATATATCAAAGTCCTTGTTCCATAACCAATGCAATGTTGGGCTAAGACGACATAAACTTTTAAAGGAAGCTTCAGACTAACCCACCTTATTCTCAGAGGTTCAATAAGACTTACTGCCAGTTCTCAGGCCTCACTTTGACTACTGTAATATAGAGCAAGAAGTCCATATTATATTTATTCTTCCCCTCTCCCAACTTCAATGATAAGCAACAGAATGAGGGATAGAAAGGGATGAAGATATAACCCACAACTTGCCAGAAGCTGTCTTTGTGAGGACTGCTGTCTCCAGCAGGGATGAAGGCACCAGACCGGCGGCAAAACATGCCCTGTATGTGATGCTTCTAATTTTACAACCCAATGGCTCTAACAAAGAATGGGGTGCAGTCGTCAGCTAAAGCTCAGTCCACCTTTCATGCCGGGAATGTTCCAACTTGGACAACAATTAGTATGGTGGACTGAAAAGCCCATCTCTGATTCAGTTTTACGAGAGCTTTGATTCTCTGGCCAAGTGCATACCGCTACTCGGCAGCATGGGAAATACAAAAGCAGTGGCAGTACAGGCTGGCAAGGGGCTGGCCTGAGCGGGTTACTGCCAGGGAGAAGTGCACATAGAAGACTTAAAAAGGACAGGCTCCGGTTGGAAAGATAAACATATTCAACTATCACAGTCTTAACTCCGCTCACCTCTATGGCCCACCTAGAGAGAAAACACAAAGTATCTAGATAGGCTGAACAGTGGCGTCATGGTAGGACAGCTAGAAATGGAAGTAAAAAGTCAGAGTTCTAGCTCCAGTTCTGCTGCTGACTTCTTTGTGTGGCTACATACGTATGAGCCATGCTTCATGGGCTCTGGGCAGCTGCTTCGGGGTTTTGTAAGCGTTATCTCTAAGCCTTAATACCTTTATTAAGAAAAGATACATGCTAAGAGTATCTACTCCATGGCACAGAGGGAATATTGAGATGATCTACATCAAGCAGTGAGCACACAGCCTAGTGTACAATAAGTCCCAGAAAAGTTCAGTGGTTCACACGACTGTCTGTAAAGCAAGCAGGATGAATGAGCTCAGTGGTACCTTATAGCCCTAGCATGGATTTTATTCTAAACTTTGGGGAAGTGAAAGAGAAAGAGCTCTGGGCATGCTATTCAAGAAATCTAGGCCCAGAATATAGAAAGCAAAGGCAAGTTTTCCATGCCATCTCTATAATGGTGAGGTTTACATTTTATAGTCTTGAGTTAACATTGATTATTGCCAGAAAAGTCAACTGGCAGGTTAAAATAATGATCACAGTGCTTAGAAAGCACTACGCACACAGAACAAAGTCATTTTCATGTGGCTGCAGTCACACACTGGGAGGCCTGTGAGCTGTAAATTCCTGGGCCTGGATAAAGTCTTTGGTTCTTTGAGGTTCCCCTGGTAAATCACTCACTCTTGAATGAAGAGTCACTGAATAAGTCAAGAACCACCTACACTTGGATTATTACTGTCATAGGAATGGTGTTCCTTGAAGATGGGCCTATAGCAGGCCCTGTCTACAAATATTCACGATTACTACCTTGTCAAAGTTTGAATGGGGCTTTTCCTATATATTTTGTGACTTTGCATCTCCTTTCCCATTCCCAGTACACAATAGGACCTTCACGCCACAGCTAGTCCAAGAAGACAAATGACAAAACAGAAGCTCTCCTGGTGCTTAAGGGCAAGAGGACAGAAGTCATTCCAGTAGACAGTGGTGCCTCCAGGTACACCCAACCCATGTCTCCTGGTTTCCCAGAGTTCTGTAGACCAGAGCTGGCCCACCCAGGGTGGCACTACAAAATTCTACACACTCTATTAGAAATTCAAGTGTAGACAGTATCCTCAACTAGACCAACCTATTAGATATTAATGTTCAGACAACACCTACCTCACTCCAGACCAGCATGGTACCGAATATGACCTGTAACCCATCAAAGAAATTGTCCCCTATGATGATCACAGTCGCGCCTCCCGTCGTCCATCCTTCACTCGGGCTGATGGCTTTGATACAGGGAGTAGCTGCTTTTCAACACACATGAAAAAGAGAAGGAGTCTGCTGTTAGAACCAAACTTTAATGATGGGAGACTCGAGAAAAAGAAAAAAATATATCTTTTATCTTTTCACTAACAGGAAGTCCCTCAAGATCTCAGAATTTTCTAGCTGCTTTAGGACCTAAAACCTAAGGGTGCAATTTTCAATTTTTAAAAGCATTTTTTTCATTGTTTCTATTGACATACAAATATTTTACCCAAATAATTTCAAACACGAAATCTTATGAAATAAAACACAGAAGCAAATTTTAATTCATGAGATGTTAAAGATTTAAAAAAATTAGGTGACTTCTTGGAACACATCGGAAACATTATAGAATTGCTTCCTGATTAAACATACTTCCCAAAGTTAAATTGATAGATTTTTAGATAGCATTGCTGCCCAAAGGGAAGTGAGAAAGAGAGGAGGCTGGAGCAGGAAAACATTCTTGCTCCATGCCTTCTACCTATAACATGAACACAGCAACATTTCTCACAAAAATCATTAAGCTTTTTTTCAACAAATGACACAGACCCCATTTTATAGATGTAAAGTATGAAGGTCACTCAGGGTGAATTATGTAACCAAATAGCTGAGTCAGGGCTGAACCACAAAATGTCTCATGACCTTTGCTTTGTTGTCATTCCCAGGCATAAAACTCTAGAAAGGACTTGTTTAAAAAAATTTCATATCTCTTCTCTTTCCCTTATAAATGGCCCTTGGAGATGGGAAATAATTTACAAATACCATGATTCTAAACAGACTGGAGGTGGTTTGTCTGATGAGTACAGCATACTTTCAATGCAATTGCTAGGCATAAATGTAATTGTAGGATTATGTTTTTGAAATCTCTCAGAGGGCACCAATGATTTTTAACTCCACAGTGCCATGCTGTTGTTCTCATGATTACTTTCATGAGCAGAAACAAAGCAAAATTCTAAAGCAAGGGAGATATTGTGCAAGGAGAGGAAACGAGACCCTTCTCTTTAATAAAAAAGTTTATTAAGTATCCAAGACTGACTTTCCAAATATTGAAGCCAACGAGAGCACCAGTTAATTTTAACGGGAAGAAGCTGGAAAAAAAACTATTGGCCTTTGTCAAATTTGGCAAAATGTCATGCTTTAACTTTTGCAAGAAGAAAATACTAAGCCCATCCCGGCGGGACCATCGTTCACGTGCCACCACACAAACAAGTAGAATGGGTTTGATTTTGATTCAAATTCATCTTATAAAATAACACAGAGAAATTAGGAAATATCCAAACTAAACATTTCATGTTGGCTGAACTCACAGTAATGCATTTATAACTAAAACTAGGTAGTTCAGATGCCTTTTCTCTCCTTCACTTTCTCCCCAAAACAAAATAATTAATCAAGAAAATGTAAATGATTCATAACTTGAAAATTCTTGTCCAATTTTTAACACACATAAAGGTTGTGATCAATGCTCCATAGGCACAGGGCTTTTTCTTAAGCAAAATTTTTTCTTTAGAAATAAAGATGTTTAAATGCATGACTGAGTATTCCCAAACCCAAGGTAGAATATTATGTATGATTTCAAGACATTTATAACAGAAAAAAAGTACATGTAACAATTATGTAGAATTCCTAAAATAAAAGCAGTTTGGAAACATGCTGGTTAATGTCTCAAAATCTCAATTCTTAATTTCTGACTCAGCATACTTAGTTGTTAAAGTAGAGCAGAAAGGGTGCCATATCTCCAGATACTTCTGAGAAGAATAGGATCTTGGTTTAACTGAACTGGTCTTGAAAGAGTCTTGCCTAATGGCAAAGTGCGAAATCTAATGGTATCATTAAATGCTACCCCTGTGACTACCTTCATAAACCACAAAATAGTCTTGATGTTCATTATCTGTATTAGCTTTCTTTTAATTTTTTAAATTTTATTTTTGTAATCATGCAAGCACACTTCTCTACGTAAAGAAGTGTGCTTGCACACTTTAGACTCCTCCAGGCTTACTTAGCATTGCACAAAAGGAGGCAGAAGACTGTGTTGGATCTCTAAGAGACTCTCCTATAGCAAAGTTGTTCTGATAGTATGGCGAAGCTGGTTTTAGAGTTGACCCCCTCCCGCTTCTTTCCATTTGTTATTTGTAGGATAAAAAGGGCATGTAAGTATATATGTCTATGTGTGTTATGTGCTTTCAAACAGTTCCTAAGAAAGTGATAATGTTTTCAAATTCTGTGAGCAACCAACCAGAAACAAAGCTAACTGTCAACTAGCTAAAAGAAAGAAAGATCATCAAGCCTCCAGAGACAACATGGTGAGGAGACAATATGTGACACCATCTTCCTAGCTTTTTAGAGAAAAGAACCCTTGAAGGAAGTACTCCAAGAAGAGAGTGACATACTCTTCGATCCATCCTACCTCTGTCCTCAGCCATCCACTATCTTAGCTTAGAGACTAGATGCCATTCCTAGAACAAGTAAGTCATGCAGACTTTTTTTCTGAAGTTAGGCTTCAGAGGGTTCTAAAGGTGCTCCTATACATCTGTGTATCATAGTGGTCTTGAAAGGAAGCTCTGTGGTATTTCCCCACTGGGAAGTTTAGAAAATATGTAAAGGACTCTGGGCTGTCCCACTGAGAGACAGAGGTGGGAAAGTAATGTTAGTGGCATTTAGTGCCTGGAAACCAAGGATGCTAACTATCCAACAGTGCACCGGATATTCCCCCAAATGAAGAACTTTAAGATGTCAATAAGACAAGGTAGAAGGCACTGTGACTAGATAAACAGGTCAGTCTCGAGGGCAATCACTAAGAACTCACAGATTCATATAGGCCAAGGCAAGAAACATAAACGAATACAGCAGCTCAGAGTCTCAGAATAAGCATGAGATGAATGGCCCCTGACACTAAGAACTGGGGAAGGTCTAGCCACTGGTACTCCCCACACAAATGCAGGTCAAGTGTGGTCTGGTCTTCTGATCTTTTGAAAGAAGCTGGGAACTAGATTTTTATGTGAATTTCCCAATCTTTAAATGCTGGCAACTAATTCAATTTTCTTAAACGTGTAGGCTGTAAACAAAATGTTTATGGGGGTAAATTTAACGCCTAGGCCACCATTTTACATTTTTATCCTATTCACAAACCTGCCAGACTAAAAGCAGCTCAGGAAATACCTGCAAATGTACCTAAACTACAGGTATCCAAAAGTTCACTGCAGCAAAAAATTCAAGAGTCTAGGTGCCCCCAATAATAGAGTGGTTAAATAAATTATGATATATCCCTACTACAGAATATTAGGAGTGCCATCAGAATGGATGGAAAAGATTTCTATAAACTGACATGGAAAGATATCAAAGTAGGTTAGGTAAGTAAAAACACAATTTATAGTCTAATGAATAATGTGATTTTGTTAACTTAAAAAATGATATATATAGGAGCCTATCTGTGCACCTGTGCTTGTGTGTATGTAGTTACACGTGAACAAAGGTCTGGAAGGACGTACATCCACTGTCCCCAGTGGATCCATATGAAAGAGCAATGGCGCTGGGGTGGGGCTGAGGGGGCAGGGAGACTGGTAAATTTTACTCTATAGAAAGCCAAATGGTTTGAATGTTTTCAATGAGCACACATTAAGGTAATATGTTATCATAATAAAAATTAAATAACAGAATAACAGAGCACTTAATTCTGTAAGAGATAAAGGTACTATTTGGAGCACATTGATACAAATTAAAAAAAAAAAAAGAAAAAAAGCCCAGCTGTGCTGACTAACAGATCCCAAGCCTCTCCTTCTCTCTTCTTTTTGGGTAAGCTTTGCTCTGAGGAAGCCCAAACAACATCTGAGCAGCCAAGGACCTGTTTTTCTTTCATTCAAGATATCCAAAGAGACATGGAGGGGACGACAAGGAGAGATCATTTTTAATAGTCATAGTGGATATATTCAGTAGAATTTGAAGGTGAAAAGATTTATAAACGAACTCAATTCAGCCCAGGAATGTAATAATCAGTACAATTCTATCTCCATGAAAATATTATAAAATAGGGGAGGGGGGTGGATTTGATTGAATACAAAACCACTTTTACCAGCCAAATCTTCATTTAATTAGTAAATAATTAAATTAATAAAAGATTCTTTCTTCTTCACCAGTGAATTTTCACTGTGGTAACCACAAGGATGATAAGCCAATTCCTGGTTCTAAATCCCATTAAAAATAAAAGTTGAAGTTGATTTTTTTCTTCGCCCTTTTTTTTTTTTTTACCTCTTCCCCCACCCCCAACAGCCACCAAAGTAGAGGAGATTTTCTTTCCTTCAAACTATGACAATAACATGATTACCCCACCACAGTTTAGCATAATGGCTCTGAAATGCTCGTGGCACATTGCAGAGTTAAAGTGGAAATTATTAGGTAGCTCTTCTTTGTTATAATAATGATCACTCCACAAATAAAAGCTCTTCTCCCAAAGGTACTGCAAGGCACAAAATGCTAATTCTGAAGATTATGTGTGTGCTTTTATTAAATATTACCATGCCCTGCCTGTTTGAGGGCTTCTCTGCTCTGATTGTTTTATGAGTACCATGTTAATGTCATTCCCATCTTGCTAGCAGCAGGCACACATTTTAGCGTTTGTATGAGAGTTGATCAAAGGCCACGTGCTGGGGGAATTGCTGAGAAAACACGGACAAGCGATAAAAATCTAACAGATTAATTGGTTTAAATTTCATTTCAGGGTGTTGAACTTTGGCTCGGGACTCTAATACTACACCGTGAGTCAGGGCCTAATTACCAGATTTCCAATTTGCTTCTGAACAATGGTCGTGGTGAGAAGAAAAAGAGAGGGAAGAATGAGGGGGAAAAAAAAAGAAAAGAAAGAAGGAAGGAAAGAAATCATTCAGCCTCCAGTACATATTTAACAACTAATGTTCTGTGTGCAGACAACTGCACCAGGGGACATTTGCTATCACCTGCTCTACCTCCAGAGCATTTATATTTCCTTCCAATAGCCACAGAAGACAGAAGAAAT